TAACGCGACATGGAACGCATATGGAGCAAGGAACCGCTGTTTTATTTTTCTCTCTGACCTTAAATTAAGTTTCTCTCCTCTGAGACAGACCATCAGGCTGGAAAAAATGACAAATAATAGTTATAATAATTCTGATAATGCTGCACAGTGTTTGTCACCTTGTGTTTGTGTAAAGCTTTCTTTTCCTCCATAAAGGCGTCAGCATGCATTGTACCAGCTTAATGGGTGTGACTGAGGAACAGAACTGCTATAAATCTTCAATCCGACCTCTCGGCAATGATCTTGCGACCGCTGCTCTCAAAACACTGCCAACCCTTTGCAGTTTGACTAGAAATATTTCAATGGTTTGTTATTTTTGCATTTTCCATTTTTACTGCGAATGCTTAAGCAGCGGGCATGTGTGTTCGTATAATTAATGAACTGTACGCTCACTTGTGTGGAGTGTTGCGGTAAACATGATCTTTACGAGTGCGGTGGCAGAAATGTTCTGACACATCCTGGCAGGTCCAGTGAAGAAGGATTGGACTGGAAAAGTGTAGAGTATGAAGTCATAACCTTGACGTTAGAGTATCTTTCAGCACTCATAAAACAGGCCGGTCAGTTTGAGTGACCTCAGCGCTTGGTGTAGGCTGGCATAATTGTTTTGTTTGGAGACAACTACAGGGAATCTTTCAAATCAAAGTAATGAAGCATCTCATGTCCTATGATACATGTTTGTGAGTATTTTCTTGTAGGAAACATAAAGGATAGAATATCAAATTAACAAAAATGATGTCTTTAATGTAAGACCAGTAGTCTCAAATAGGCAGAGTTTTGAATTGTAGCATAAAATCTTTTCCATATTGCTGCTTATAATGGCCAAGAGCTGGCCAATTAGACTGCGAGACTGACTGACATATAAAGTTACTTTTTGTGTTTTTACATACTATTCAGGGTGGGTTATCTAAAATAGTTGATACCGCAGAAATAAAAAATCATTCAAATAATTGCACAGTAGTGTCAGTCAGTAGGCGGCTAGGCAGAATACACCAATTAAAAATACTATAAATAGAATATAGTATAAATAGGCTTCCTGGCAATCCATAAGTAATAAGAAAATTTCAGCGACTAAATAAAAACAACAGTTCTCTTTTTGAGTGATGTGAAACCCATTTTTCCATACTTTTCACAGTATTTATGAAGTAGACATCATATTTAGAAGTAATATGGACAGTATTACAGTATTTGATTTGAATTCAGCCTCTAACAAAGACATGCAGAGAGAACCCTGGACTTGGGTTAGAGTTAAAGCTGCACCACAAATGGAGAATCTACCAGTTTTTATTTTTATTCAAAACATTTTTAGACTTTTTTTTGTTTTTTTTCAAAAACCTTAGGGTACGTATTTTTGAGAGTGTTCAGTGGGTGTTGTTTCTCAAAAAAGTTTTTTTTTTTTTTTTACTTTTTAACAACAAAAAAGGAAGGGAAAAGAAATTATTTGAACATTTTCTGCACATTTTTCTCTGACTTATTTCCCTAGATTTTTTACCCATGGCATCTCAACAATGTAATTACAAAAATCATTAGCTTTTTTGCCAATTTTGTTTTTACACACAGCAGGGGGAAAAAATGTAGAAAACAGACACAAAAATCACAGTGCCCAATGAGTGACGTGCAATGCTGTCTGAGGCTGAAACTATAAAATCAGTAGATACACATCATCATACAATATGTCATAATCTGGAAAATCTGACTGCAAGTCTTTTCTAAGTGAGTTTTCAATCACACCTACAAATGGAGACACGCACAAATGCACGAGCAAGCAACACTTTAATGAGCTAAACAATGACACGTGGATATGTGGAGTGTCCAACAGTTGCCCATTGTGTAAAATTGGGTCATGGTCAAAGTGAGAGATACATGTGGCTCGGTGTTTGAGTGGTGACTAAGAAACCCACACGGCTGTGATTACGGTGTGCATGAATGCTCATTGAGTTTGTTAACTCGGCGTGGATGCATGTAGTCATTTCTGGGTCGTCCAAGGTACCCTCCGGCTATGTTGAGCAAAATTGAATGCTTTTACAACCTGGCCCATTACATTTTGATACAGGTTTATTTCCCCAGCTCATGGTAAATCTCTCCCCTTTCCTCAACAAGCCCCCCCTTACCTGGCAGGGCCGGTTCTCTAGGTACCTGGTTTTATCCAGCTCAGATCCAGATGTGCAGGAAGAAGAGCACTATGGCTGACGGAGAACGAGTCTTCTTTATCTATTCTCATTCTGCATTCTCTGTACTGTTTCTCTGAGAGGGCTGAGGTCAAATGTACTCACTAGGAAACTCCTTAAAAGGGACCTGGGAGTTGTATTGCCAGCCACTTTCGGTTATTTGTTTCCTAAAAATCCTGTAAAAGGAAAAAGCTCAAACCACAGCAGAAATGACTGAATTCTTTCATAAATGCCTACATTGGTTCTTGCCTGCACCATTACGCAATAGTGGCTTGGCTAGTGCATGCCTTGTTTCTTACACTGCAGGACATCCATTTCCACCTTTAAATGAATATATTGCATAGCAACTGACCACCATGTATTTAAACAATTAGAATAGCTCAGATTTACATTCACATTCAAAACTGAAGCTCATTAGTAGGATTGGTTTAAACATTTCGATTCAACTATGCTTCTGAAAAATCATTTTATTATGCAGTGGGATTCAAAAATCGGAGACCACATTAAAGATCTGGGATTCAATATGTAAGTCTAACCTTTAAGGCAATAATAATATTAAATAAAACAAAGAAACTTAATGACATAATATGAATATACTTGATTCTGATTGGTCAATCCTGGCATTCGGCGGTCAGACATTATATAGTTGCTATGTTCGTCTTGTTACTAGGCCGATTGTTTTGTATAGTGAAATTGAATATTATTTCTGAGTGGAAGCTACAGTAAATATTGTGAAATATATTACAGTTTAAAATAACTGTTTTCTACATGAATGTATTTTAAAATGTCATTGATTTCTGTGATCAAAGCTGAATTTTCAGCATCATTACTCCAGTCTTCAGTGTCACATGATCCTTCAGAAATCATTCTAATATGCTGATTTGCAAACATTTCTGATTATTATGAATGTTGAAAACGGTTGTGCTAGAATAGAAAGAAAGTTCAAAATAGAAATAGAAAGTTATAATGAACAGGAATTCATTTGCAATAAATCTCTCTATTGTCACTTTTTATTTAATGCATCTTTGCTGAAGACAAGTATTATTAAAAGAAAAAGTAATAAAGTATTAGGTCCTGAGATTATTTTGTTAGCATTACTGACTGATTGTGTGTAATCCTTTACATATTTAAGATGTACGATCATGATACATGAAAGCATTTTCACCAGTACTCTGACTGTTGAACTCCACTTTATTTATTTGTTCATTCTTTTCTCCCCTCTATCTTGCCTTCCCTGATTTTATTAGAGAGAACATGTTTGTTAGCGCTGCCAAACCAATGTGAGGCATGATATGCACGGCCGTGTTTCCCAACAAACCTAAATTTGGACTTAGAGACAGAGTGTTGTGCTAAATCTCGATTATACAATTAGACAAGGCAATAAACGTGTGACTTATATAAGCAAAATCCATGGGCAGCACACCAGCAATATTTTATTTGACATGGATACCCCTTAGCTGCAGACAAGCCACAATTGCCTCACATCAACCCAGAATGATCGTTCTCATCATTCAGCCATGATTGTTGGCGAACTACCAATTAGCATCTTATGGGACGCAGCTATGCAAATGTGGCCAGACTGGGCTTAGACGCCAATCAATAGTGGACTGAACTAAAATCAATGACACAGTTGACATGTTTTAATGGGCTCTGGGTGAAGCCCTGCACGTCTCTGCCAGCCAAGGGATAATTTTGCTTGTGGTAATATGAAATGGAGCCTTACTCTCAAACCCAACAACCCCTAACTCTTCCTGCTCCAATTCTCTCTTTCACTTATGACCTGTTTCCAATCTGACCAAGTCTTACTCACAGAGAAATCACTCAGGTAAGGAAATTGTGAGCCAGGGACATTCTACCAATCTTCAAGCACATCTGCACAGGAATCGAGACAGCCAGAAGGAGGTTGTGCACCGTGCCTCTGACTGGCAGGTGAATAAAAGGCCGCTGTGATGTATGTTCCCATACTTCAGTGCCAATCAATCTGAATGCCCAGCCTTGGAGGAATGAGTTCACTGTTTACTCACTTAGCGCCGGTTGATTCTCGTGCACTAGTATTTATGTGTTTGGGCACATAATGTGACAAAAACTGACAGAAGCAAATAGAAAGTGGACATATTCATATTAACAATGACCAGGGGATTTTATAGCCTGTGGCAATTATTTAATAGTATTTTGGACATGTAAATGGATATAAATCGTCTTTACCGGCAGCACAGAATCGTTTACAAGCTCCACATGGAATAAAAAGCTGCTTCATCATTGACAAACAATAGAAGACATTTGCAAGTTTTGTTTCCTACAATGGTTTGGTCAATATCACACGAGCAGACACACATCAGCAATCCCGGAATGACTCTCAGCCAATAAGATTTCAGGACCAAATGTTGCCCCGCCCCTTTTTAGCACTGCGCTAGTTGTCTTCTGTCTTCCGGTTTGTATTTCCATAAAGTCGTACGAATTTATGAATGAACC